GTGCTAAAGCAAGTACATATTGAATAAGCTGATAAAAGCAATTGATCTCATCATGTTCAATTTGTGGTCTTGAGTGACTCCAAAGGTTGAGCCCTACATGTGGTCTTAAAACGTCTTAGACTTGCCTAGCTCCTCTTCTCTGGGCCATCTTTCACCCTGGCAGAAACCAGACCAGATGAAGATGGATTTATGGGAACTTTGGAAAACCTATCTTTTTTGGGTATAGGTATCAGTAACATTAGCGCGTCCTTTGAAAATAGCCTCAAGGGTTTTCTTGGGTGATGTCTTCTACCTTTGGTAATTGTCTCTGAGTACTTATTTAGGAGAGAACAAATGCATAAAGAAGAGACTCTGTGTTTTTCCCTTGCAAAGAGGAATTCCTTGATCATCTTTCTTCGAGCAGATTTGGGCATGTTGTTCCTTTTGCTTTCATATTGTAAACCTACACATCCTGTTCTCATTCCTATAGTAACAAAAGAGCTTTGCTCGGGAGTGCTGGCTTCTCTTCAGTGGTCTTTGTCTTCCTCCTAGGAAACAGTTTGAATGTGTCAGAAGTCCCAGTTCCTCAGAACTGCATCTGGCCAAGAATCTGACCAAGTTGGTCTGTAGTATTTCTTTCATTAAAAGCCTGCTTCTTTCCTCCCAAAAAAATCCAAAGTCATCTGTGAACAGTAACAAAGGATTAATTGTGGAGACTTGGGAGTTGGCAGAAGTGCCTATAAATGAAGTGCTTTTTTGGAAGCTATATTGCCTGTCTTGCAGATCAAAAAATAAATGCAAAGTATTTCAATGTGTATCAGTGGATTAATTAATTTGATTGCCACTTCCCTTCCTCTTCTCTTTGGGGGGGGCGGCGTTCCAGAGATTAGAATTTTAATTGCTTGACCACAGTTTCTAATGAGTGGTGCACCAAAAGGGCATGGATCATTAATTAGTACTGAATGTAAGGATTTCTGAGGTTGAGCTATAGCATCAAATGGATGAGTTTAGACAACTCTCGACTGAAATGACAGTCTATCAGTAAATTGAGTTATAATAATGAAACCATTAGAATTTTTTCTCAGTCCTTGAACGTTGGTTTCTATGTTTGCAGAGTACGTTCTGGTGCTCTTAAAGAATGTAGCATTTTTATATAAATAGATATTTAATAATTGTATATATATTATACATATGTATCTATTCTGAAGGCGCATATATATGTCTTTAGAATAGTTATACATAACAGAGTTGTTATACAGTGGCATGCTTTGTTTAATTTTATTAAATGTTTTGGGGTTTTAATCCATTAGGTAGTTTCATTGGCAACATATAAAACCAGTGTTTTCTACAGCTGCTTTCTTTTTCAGTTGGTACCTGGATTTGTGCTACTGTATCCAAAGGGAAATCTAGCTCTTGAGTGTAATGGTCTGTGAACAGAATATCATCCACATTATTACTTTAATGTCCAATAGTCTGTACCATGCTTTTTTTGGTTTTAAAACTTGATGATGGAAGTGAATTGTATAACTTCAGTTATACATTAACATTGCTGCATTCAAGATTCTCAGATAGTTTGGTGTGGAATAGGAATATGCCTGTAATACTTACCGGTATCAACTTGTTTTCTACTAGGTGGATTAAGAACTGGTTAATGGACAGACTGCAAAATGTATGGTGTGGGGTCACCATAAATTGCTGTGTGTGTAGAAAAGTTGCTGGTGCATTGGTATAAAACAGTGTGTTCTGCAGTATTTGCATCCAGAGTTTAGAAGTAAATAGGAAATAATTGCTGATAAAACTTATGAATCATGTGAACAGCGTGTGCCTTATTTCAGCTAAATTCATAAACTGGACTTTGGTTATAGACATGTAATTATGGATGTTGATGGGCAAATGGAAAACAGTGGCTCTGAAATTTAAATAATACAAAAAATTATGTAAATGGATCAAGTTTTACCACCTGTTCCACTCCCATATTCCATTTGTGCATTTATATGTATCCATTTGTGGGCTTTTAAAATATGAAACACATTTGAATATGCAAGAGCCATAAAGTCTGGTTTGTAAAACCCAGCAGAATTCAGCAATGAATCTAGAGAGCTGTGCTTGTATTTAGGGGGAAGTAAGAAGTAATTAGTAGAAAACTACTAAAATCCTTTTTTTTGACAGAAAACCTATATTCACTTTATTTTTTAATTCTCCTGTAGAATATTGTAGGAAGATGGTGTTAGCAGTTTACCAGTATATTAATGGGTCTTTATTCATGTAAGTCTCTGGGGCTGATCACCCATCTCCTGTTGAGAGTTAGTAGAAACTAGATGTCTGGGAGTTCAGAAGTTGGCAAGAGTTTTCATAGGACATTTTTCCTCAAAGTAGTTTTCTTGACTTTTGCTGTGTTTGAGACTCAGTTTGTGGAAAGAAGATTGTGTTTCTGCTCTCTCCTCCTGCTCGTGCTTCCTCTTTCACAGGAGTTTCTGAAACAGTGCAGCTGCCTGCTATGAATTCACCAGTGCGTCGCATGGAAACTTGGCTTCTTGGCATATGGAAGGGACGGCTCTTTTCTTCTGTCCCTGTCTCTGGGGAATTAAATTCACATTTTGTGTTCCTGCTTAGGTTTAGTGCGAAATTTTTCACTTCAGCTTCTTTACTCCCCTTGCCCCTCTCTCCTTTCCTTAATTAAAAGATGCTCAGGTTGAATGCATATAGCAGCAGCTGAAAAAGGATGAAAATAGCACAGATGAAATAGCTACACTATTGAGACCTGGACCTTTATTTAGCATCACATTTGCTGGTATGTCACTGTAATGGAGTTCAAAAGCTGACTGGATTACTTTTTTTCAACAAATTAATTGATAATCTCTAATTTTAAAGGAAACAAAATTTTGTTTGCAGTCAAACATGGTTTTTACAGCTTCAGGTGTTCCTCCCATCTAAGTGAATTACAAAGTCATATTTGTTCAGTGTAAACAGGAATAGATTCACCACATCTGTATGTGTTCAGTCTCTGTTTCCCAAAGGCTATGAGTACATCCAAACTGAGATGCTGACTGCTAAAAACAGTATCTATAAAAAATAAAAACAGTATCTATATAAAATAGGCTAAAACTGCTCATTTTCAACACCTTTGAATATCATTTTATATCTATATAAACTGGCTAAAACTGCTCATTTTCAACACCTTTGAATATCAGGTAATTTATGGAGTGCCCAAGGACAAGCACTGGTTTTGTGAGTTAGGTGACACAGGTTTTTAGATAATGGACTCCAGGTAGGTGTCTACAAAAAGATCAAAAAATCAATCTCAACACCCTATGCTTTAAATAGTTTCTGGAAACCTGGTAGAATCTCGTGCCAGCCCTTCCCTGAGCAGGGAAGAAATGAATTTTAAAAGTTACTCAGAATAGTATGGGGCAAAGAAATCAAAACAGCAGTGTTGGGTAGGACAGCATTTCTGATAAATCATGAATGATCCTTCTCACAGAGGAATATCCTGTAAAATACCTAAACACAGAAGTCTTTTATATTGCGGTTAGTAGATTTTTTAAAAAAGGGGAGAGAGAGCAATGGCAAGATGTGCATTAAGGTGTTTTAGAGGAAAGGTGGCAATAGATGCTCACAGAGCTTGGACTCGAGTTTTGCACAGGTATCTCTCTTGGTAAAGCTGTTATGAAGTACCTTGAAAGTAGTGCTGCTGAGGTTACCCACTTTATCTGTGGTTTTGACAGAAACACCATTGTTCTTCTCCACTCCTTTGAATGCTTCCCTTGCTTTCACTTTGAACTTAAAAATTTCAGTCTGCTTTCCCTAATTTAACCTCCTTCACCACAATGCCCTTTTGTAATTTACCCATCTTTTTGTTATTCAGTCATTCCCAGCCTCTTCAGCGGAGCTGACATGATGATCTGCACCGTTTCCTTGAAATCATCTCTCGCAACATTTTAATAACTTCCCCAAATAAGTTCACGGTGCTCCTGCCCTTTTGGTTCGTTTCATTGCTGTTTGAGTCATGGGTACAATCAAGTGGGAATAGCCAGTTAGGCAGACACAGCTATGGACATTGGATATATATGTTTAACCAGGGTGCTTAAATGTGAGGTCTTTTCTTGGTTGAGCTCCATCAGGTTTGTGAAGGAGAAGGGGACTGTGGCTGGCAGACTTGCCAAGCACATGAAAAGCAAAAGCAAAAGTGATCTTGAACTGTCAAAAAAATTCAAAACCAGGGAAAATGTTGCAATATTTGCCTGCATAAAGAGGGGAATATGAAGTAAGAGTGTAAAAGAGGTATTGATTTTTGCATACATTAAGATCATTTGGGAATCCTTCATTCACTTTTCCTATCCATACTGGAAAAAAGTGTTGGAAGAGGCTGAGAAGAGATCTAGTTTGACACCTTCACTGTCACGAAAGGTTCGAACTCAATTTTATTTCCCCATGAGAGGCCTAAGAGGTGAATTGGTTTTTGTTTACTCCGTATATATATGTACAAGTAGATCAGCTAAAACTGCTTCCCAGCAAGCAGAAATAGCTGTTGAGATCAGTGGTGGGACACTGACAAGCGTGAACTAGAAGCGAGACATGAGTTTGCAGCACTGGGAGTGTTGCTGGAAGATTTTAGATAGGAGAATGATAGATTTACTGTCTCTTGGTAGAACGTCTTTCTTAAAAACTTCCCTATATCTCAGCCACTCCACAGCTTCTGTACATAGGAATTGCTGCATGAGGAATTATAGCCTGTTGAGCAGAGGTCAGATGGCTCTCCTGGCCTTACACTAGCCATAGGTTCTTATTTCTCCTATTCTGTTCTTTTCCCTTGTTTTACTCGTTGCACTATACTGAGATGGGCTGCAATCAGATCTCCATCTTCTGTATTTTCACAGCTTCCAGTGCCGTGATGCTGGACAAGTAGAAATAATAAGCAGCGCTGAGGGTTGGTACCAGTTCAAAGAACTCGCATGGGATGCGACTACTGAATATCCATTTATTTATTGCTTTCCTTTTTCTTTTTTTTTTCTTTTTCATAGTGAAATACATGAGAGAAGCAACCCCCTATGTGAAGAAAGGCTCTCCTGTTTCAGAAATTGGGTGGGAGACGCCTCCCCCTGAATCTCCCCGCTTGGGTTGCGCCTCTGCTGACCCACTGTCGCAGCTTTCTCTCTCCATCCACAGAGACAAGAAGACAATACCGCTCAAGATGTGCTATGTGACGCGCAACATGACGGTGTCAGACCCCGAAAACAGGTGAGTGGGGAATTTGCCCGGGACTAGGATTTTGCCTTTGTGTTGAATCATCGTTGACCTTTTCAGCATTGGGGTTGGTGAGCAGGAGCTGGTGATGGCTCTGGCCGCACACAGCAACCCAGCGAGGAGCAAGCGAGCACTGGTTTGGGAAGGGTGGGTGGTGGCGTCTGAGTTCAGTGCTGGGTGCTGGGTTCAGCTTTTGTGCTAGAGAAACTTTTCAGTGCGGTAATCCAACGTTTTTATTAGAAATAGAATCACAGGAGTTTGTTTTCATCCTGATTAAGTGCTTTTGAAGGAGAAGACACTGTACACACTAATTGGTTGCATCTTCCAGGCTCGCTTAATCTAATTCCATTAAATTGCATTTTCTTTTCTTTTTTAATGAATATTACTTTAAGAATGGCCTGTTTTGTCCATTCAGTTCTGGGCATTAAAGTCAAGAATAGGAGAAAAGTTCCACTTACAAGGCATTAATGGGGAGTTTCTGTGACTTCTTGTTTTTTTTCATAATGTTAAAAATAGGATGAGCTTTTACGAGCCCTTATTTATAACATATGTGGAACAGCCGCACCACACCAGCACACTCTCTGATCCCTGATCTAACAGCTGCTAATAAAAAAGGGACCAGTCAAGTCAGTAATACAGACTGATTCTTCCATCCAAATAATGGCCTTTTTGTTTTTCTGCAGTGTGCTGGCTTGCCCAGAAGCTGTGTGTAATGCCTTTGATTCTCAGCGCTTGCCTATAGGCATAAATAAAAGTTACATTTTCATTTGCAGAGGAGGATAAGGAGAAGAGGGGAGAGCAGAAGGAGGTTGGGGAGGATTGGTACACCTGTAATCTCTTGCACTGCAATTTAGAAACTTCATCAGTATCTGTGTAATTTTCCTTCTTTCTTTTTTATATTTGTCTGACCTTCTTCTAAGGGTTTTTTTTCCTGCCTCTGTGCTTTATTGTTTAGTATTGCTTTACTTTGCTTCTGCTCTTCATTTCACTAAGTGGTTACCATCATAGTCAGTGATAACTGACCACTACAGAAGTGCAATTGTAAAACAGCAATTACCCTAGCAGTCTTTCTCAAGTTTAAATCAAGATGGTTATTGATATGGGCCACTTCTTTTCACATATAACTGTGTAGTTTAAGATGCTGAGGTTTGACAGCTGTATCACTAGCCTGAGAGTTTGTGGTTCTCTCTGCCATGGAATGTATTTTAAAAATACCCATGCAGGTTGCATTATTTGAATCAGCACAATGTAACAATGCTTTGCACATGTTGGCTTCATTCTTTCAGCATTTTTCAGTTCTATTTTTGGACTGTATTGTAATTCTCAGCTTCTGTCACTCTCCTGGTCCTCAGTTTTGTTTGAAGGCCAGGAGGACTGATTCAGAAGGACACACACTCACTGCTCATGATACTTCTGTGATGGAGCTAACTTTTTTGAAGCGTGCTACAAATGTGTATGTTCTTAGGTGTTACTAGGAAGTAAGGCGTGGGAGAGTCATATTGCTTATTATCATGGTTTCCATTTTGTGTTACTGTCATTTCCTGTGGAAAACACTGTAGTCCAACACAGTGCAGTGTACAGTCTAAGCTGGATTTTTCCATCCAAGCTCACAGTACCTCACCATCATGCTAGCTGCGGTGTAATAGTAGCATCCCATCGATTCGGGTCTTTACCAATTTCAGGGCTTTTGACAATTCTGAATACTGGAACTGATGTTTCCCAGTAGAAATGCTATTACAATGCAGCAACCCTTTCCCACTGGAATATATCCCAAGATAGTAATCTGATTCCACAAAAATAATTTGGTCTTTGTTCACAGAAGAGCCCAAACCATGTCCTTACATACTTATGACACTTCTGTTTTATAACCCAGTGACCTGACACACATAGATCTTCTAACTGATGGTGTCACTTTGCTGGACAGCTTTAGAAGAGCACCTCGGGCAGGCTGCTAAAGCATGTGCTGGCCATAAAAGGGCTCATTTGGACTATAGCTGAGCTAATTGTCACCTAAGACCAAGTGTGGACACAGAAAGCATGAGTTTTCCAGTGCAGATGTTTCTCTAGTGCAGGCTGGAGATCATGTCACAGCAGCTTTGTGGGACCAGGCTGAACTGGTTTGACATTCAGCATGAGAAGATACCTATGTTAAAGGACCCAGGAGGAAATACCTGCTTGTTGGCACCGAATCATCTCCAGTTCTTAGAAAGCTGGGGTGAAATGTGGGTTTAATGGTCACGGAGGAAGTTACACATCTGGTTTTCCCACTAGAGCTGGTAGCCCTGCATAGGATTTCTGCTTCTCCTTGAAGACTGGCCCCAGTTAAGAGATTTCTAAGTCTATGTTTACCCTCAGATAGTTTGATGAGCCTCTTATTTCAGTGCTTTTAGAGCCAGAGGTTCTCAGATGTCTCCTTCACTTAACCTGCCTGTGGGTTCACTCTGAAGGAGGTAGGGAATTGTCTTCCCTGTTGCCTGATTTAAAAAGCTGTAAGATACCAAGGAGAAAATCCTTAATGCAAACCATGCCAAGCCTCAGTATGTAGAAAAATATTTTTTAATACTACAAACATGGCAACAGGAGAAAAGATGCAGAGCATCTTAGTGGCATCTATGTCATTCTCCTCTAGACACAGGGGCCATTGTTATATTTTAGGCTGGAAGAAACTAGATTAAAATTGTTACCACTTAAATCTGTCATTTGCCTACTTTTTCACTGATAAGTGTCCTTCTTGCTTGCAGTGCTAGAGGTTCATGTCAGGCCTCACAGGGGAGCATTTCCTCCCAGTGAAGAGACGTGTGGGAATGGTTACAGCTAGTAATACCAGTAAGCTTTTCACCAATTTCTGGTAATGGTATTAAGGAATAGGAGAAGAAAAAAAGAAATAGGTCTCTGAGATGAAATTTGTTCTGTGGGTGCTTTTAGGGTCTTGGGTACAAAGATACTTCCTTGCCCAGCATAGGAAACACGACATTCCCTGTAGGAATGGGGCCATGCTGTGCAGACTGAAAATGTTTTTTCTTCTGCTTTTGAAATCACCCTAAAATCCTGCTTGCACTTCATTCAGCCAAACCCAGGAAGTGTGGTCCTGATCCTGCCAGCACTTAGTGTGCACAGGTCACGTTTTTCCAGTGTCCAAAGCAGTGTGATCCTTACAGGGAACTGCAGGAGGGATCCAGTCTTAAGGATCGAGTTACTCGTTGGCAGGATTTGGCTCTCTGATGGGAAAGGTTTGTTTTGGTTTTGAAGCTAGGAAAAATGGGCCAAGGACAGATTCCCAGCAGGGTGGTGCCAGCTGCCAGCTGCACGCAGTGGCAGCACTGCAGCAAGTACATGTGCAGTTCATAGACTTCACACCGAGGACACGCGGAGAAGCAGATAAGGAACTTTTCTTGTCTGTTGTCCATTTCAGGGCTGGACTGAGAATTACGATCAGAAGATAAAATTCAGCAGGTACATTTTAAAGGTGGTAGAACAACTGTGCTGGAATGCATTCATCCTGGGCTCTACGCACTGAGCTGTGGTTTGGAATTACCTGAGCTTCCCTGGACAACAGGGACGTGCGAGACAGACTGAAACCTGCTTACTCCAAAGGCAGCTATAGACTTAAGCTGCTTCATTGCTTAGATTTTTTTTTTTTTACTGCATTGGGAAGTACTGATTCATTGAAAGAAGCATTTGCAAGATTTATTGCAAAGCTGTCGCTCCCCAAATTGATTCCTTTTGCACACATTCTTTTTTAAAAAATTTTCTGAGTTTATTTAATAATATGTCAGTAATGCACAGTAAGAGGGTCAGTGAGATTTAACATTTTGGATTGTAATAATTGGTGTATTAGCATGTAATTTATGTAATTTATGTAAGCATGAAATATCCTTGTGTGATTCTGAAATGAAATTTCAAAATCTTAAATATAAAACAAATCCTGGTGAATTTGGATGCATTTACTTTTGTTACACTAGGGCATGAAAACAAAAGTTGAAACTTCTTTAAAATAAAAACTGAGTTTCAACCAGATTTAATATGACATAGTAAAAAACAGTCCTTGTGCCAAAAAAACTTGAGCCATGAATGCTGATAACAAATGTTAAGAAGTTAGCAGAAGAGCATGAAGATAAAATAAAAAGGCAAGCATCTTTAAGTAGAAGTCAGGGAGCTATGACATTAGTATAGCACAGCACTGTCCAAAAATGGACTTCTTGAATGTTTTTCAGCTGTGAGGCTGATTGATTATTTATATAGGTGATGTCTGGAGTACTAGTAGAAACTCCATGCCTTTTCAGTAAAACTCTACAAAAGATGACCACGTATAGTTTGGGACCTGCCAGCACCCCCAGTTTCACTGCTGATAGAAAGCACAACTATTTTTCTTTAAAAGGACTACAAGACTTGACATGTTCAGACTTGACATTAGGAAGCTTTTCTGTACCGTGAGCGTGGTCAAACACTGGAACAGGCTTCCTAGAGAAGTGGTCGATGCCCCAAGCCTGTCACATTTAAGAGACATTTGGACAATACTCTTAATGACATGCTTTAACTTTTGGTCAGCCCTGAAGTGATCAGGCAGTTGGACTAGACGATCGTTGTAGGTCCCTTCCAACTGAAATAGTCTATTCTATTATGGTCTGGTCTGGTCTAGTCTAGTCTAGTCTAAGAAGGAATGACAGACATTTAGCTCCTGCACCTCCTCAAGCTCATGCTGGTGTAATTTAAAGACGCAGAGAGGCAAATATTAGGCAGTGCAGAAGAATCTGGATGTCCTGTTGATGAAAGCATGGGCTGGCTCATGCCTCCACCCTGCCTGTTTCCTGCTTGGTAAACAGGACCATACTTTGATGTTGCCAGGCACGAGCAGCCACTGGTATGCAAAGCAAAGGCTGGATTCTCCTCGAAGAACAGCATGCTTTAGGTGTGCAGCTTTGCAGCCTAGTTTTTTTGCCCTTCCGACGAGGGAGCAGATCCCCCAAGTCATGTACCTGGTGTGGGGCTTGCAG